TATTTTGGACATACTACTCATGATTGTAAATATTTGTGTGTGGATTTAATGAGCTTTTGGGAAGAACTAGTTGCTTATATTTTGTTATTTTGGGTTGTGGAATTGTTATGTATTTAGTTGTTGTTATGAAGGTTTCGAGAGATATGTGAGGTTAGGCTTCGTATTGTTACAAGTTTTCATGTAACGGTACGGCCGGGTCATGTTCTAGAAGTGGGGCGTGACACATATTGTAATAAGGAAATGCTGGAAGACTAGGGAGGTCTGGGAGCGCCTAATTCCTATCTATAAACGCGTGCAATGGGAATGTGGCAACTTTGTGGGGTGGATCCTAGGCAACATTGCAATGAAGTCGGACTGAAGTGCGTTCTTTGCTACAACAACATATCTCGAGAAATTTGTTTCAATTAGGCAAAGGGCATGCAATGATTCAATTCTGTGTATTTGTTTACATTAAAGATTTACATTACTTTTTCATATTGTATTTTTATTTGTAAATATGAAATTAATTACTATATATAAAATAGTCTATTAAAAGGCAGAATATTTATTTATATAATAATTATTTCCATATGAACGTATGTAACTGTCAATTCCAAAATTACATATAGGTATCTAGATCAGATTTATGAATGATATATATAATTGGGTAGAATAATTTAATTATATATATTAATTTAAAAATAACTTATTAAAAGGTTTGAAATGATATAATAAATTATTTTAAAATTATTTGATAGATTGGAATGTCGCAAAAGTCTCCCTATATTTAGTAATTTGTATTTGTAATTATGAAATTAATTACCATATATAAAAATAGTCTATTAAAGGGCATGATATTTATTTATTTATATACTAATAATAATAATAATAATAATAATAATAATAATAATAATAATAATAATAATATAATACTACTATAACGAATTAGCCTTACAAAACAAATTATTCACATCAGAAACGCGAAATCATGCATCCTATTAGCCTTAACGAATTATTATTACTATAATTAGTATGCATGTGTAATTCATGGTATTTAGTATGCAGGAATTATTATTCATTTGTTACTATGCACGAAAATCATGCAATAGCTATTAGTATTAGTATTTTGTATTTCATAATTAAATTAAATCATCCTTAATTTGCACCCTTGATTACATAATTTGGAACGCAAATTATTCATTTATAATTCATTTGCACAAATTCATAGTTATAAATACCTCATTGGTCATGCTTCTCATTCATTTGCAATCCTCTTCCTATACTTTTCAATTTTCATACGCTAAACTTTTCAACTTTTCAATATGGCTCCCACCTTCAATCTACTTATCCAAATCACTGCTACCTCCACGAATTGTGCGATAAAAGTTCGCCTAATCCGAATGTACGAGTCAACATTCAACAATAACACCTACAATTCTCATACTTTGGAGTGTGTCTTTCATGTTTCTAAGGTATATTCGTCACTTTTAGTATTGATATATATAGATTATCTTTTAGTCTATATATAACTCTAATTTCATTGCAAAATTAAACAAAATATATAATAATTATTAGGTACAGTAGCTTGCATATTTTGTGTGTGTGTATATATATATATATATATATATATATATATTCAACATAATTTTAGTATATAGAATATTAATACTTTCCATATTTTATTTCCATGAATCATTTACCATTGATAATTACTAGGCTAAAAAACACACAATATTCGTGAGGATTTATTTGGTTTCTATCTATTTTTAGTGCAACATTTATTTTTAAGCCAATCAAAATCAATTACTCCAGTAGCCATATTTGTTTTCCCATAAAATGTTTACGTTTATGGGAATAATTATGGTTAGCCATTAATGACTCCTTTCTCAATGAGCCTTAACTTAAGATTGAAGTTACAAACAAAAGGGTGGCAGAAGACACTAAGAACATTCCATCACAAAACATAAAGGGTAAGCATTGCGATTACAGATCATGAGGAAGATTACATCTTCATGCACCATTCGGTCAAAGAGGAAACATTATCATCAAAACAAAGGTATTTCATTCTCATTTCAAAAACATAAATATAGTAAAACATATTTTGTAGTTATCATGTAGTCAATGATCTATGATTTTTTATTAAACTGTTAGCACTAAAAACCACTAATCTTTTGGTGAAAATGGTGGTTCACCTATGTTTTCTCTTTTGTATTAACCCAATAGTCGCCTGAAATGTTAGGAAACTGTAATAAGATTTAGAAAAATTACATCAACACCAACATGCACAACCATATACAATATGTTCCGGGATAACCAGGCTTCTACGTCTACGTACATTCAACTAAAAAGTACTCAGAAAATCATAATAGATCTATACATCAACAACCAACATGGTATATACCACGAAATTTTCAATAATTTGTAATTTTGTCACTCTTATTTTTCTATATTGTATGTTAAAGTAATTTCTTTATTGTTTCTATTTTCCATTTTATATTTCCGTTACAACTTTAATTTTTATATATTACATCTTCTCTTAAATTTTTCACACAATTACACAATAAGATGAACAATATTCATCTCATGCATCGCATGGGTATCATACTAGTATATATATATATATATATATATATATATATATATATATATATATATATATATATATATATATATATATATATATATATATATATATATGTTATCAAAATATTAATTGTAATTTAAAAAATTCAATGACTCATGTTTAATTGTAATTATACTAATATTTGTGTAATTATTAGCTAGCTTAATTACTATAATAATTATTAGTTAATTATATTAATATTAATATTTGTGTAATTAATTCCTTAATTACCACGCATAATAATTATTAGGTAATTATACTAATATTGTGCAATTATACTTTTATACTGTAAATATATGATGATTTTATTGGGAACGGGTCTACCATAAGGGGGGTATAAGAACTCAGAACAAGGGTAGGAAAATAGTAGATTTATAACCCAGGGCGCTAGGCCCAAAATAACTCAAAACAAGGATAGGAATAGTACGTACAAAACCCGATGCGCGGCCCAAAGGATGTGGTGTAGCTAACTATGCTGTTGACAAGAATCGAACCTGGGTAAAAGGGTTAGGAGTATGAAACCAAGACCACTAGATTGTAGTACTTGTCCCGTTCAAATTTGCCCAGACTAAGGAGCCAAACCCCCTATTTATAGTAAGAGCACCACCATCTTACACCTTTCACGCCCCTTGACTAACTCCGCCCACAATTTCCATGTGTCCCACGTCCCAAAACCTCCCAAATCCCCTTCATGCACACGTCATCCACCCACCATCCCCATACACACGTCACCCAACCACCTACCGCCTCACCCCCCTTAACGACACACTCCCCAACGAGGGTGCGCTAGACCGCCCACCCGGCAACTGGCCGCGCCTTGGTCGGCCGAAGCCAACCAACTACTCGTTGGGGGCCACAATCCCAGTGGCGACACCGCCGCGGTGAACAGACTCCAGGAGGGGGGGCGCAACCTTGCGCTGGTGGCGCGTTAGCCACGTTGGGCACTTGCGCGCCACCCAGCTGTCGCTGGCTTTATCCTCGACCGAACCACCTTCTGACCATCCTTGGCCCACTTTCCGCCTTCCTTCACCTCGGCCCAATTACCAAAGTCCACCAGACTTTGAGCCCATATCCAATATCCCCATAAGTATAAAAATATATATAGAGATTACCATAAAATTACTCTATTAATTACATGGTAGAATAGGAATGATAATTTAGGACTTTACTAAAAATCGGTTGAAAAATATAATTATTAAAAATTAGGAGTTACCTAAAGTTCTCACCAATTAAACCGGTTGAAAACAGAAAAAAATAAAAAACGAAAAATATAAAAAGAAAAAAATGCCTTTACTAAAAATAGAAAAAGTCATGATAAAGACTAAAAGTGCCAAAAAAAATAATAACCTAAAATGTTAAATGGAAAAAATGATAGTCTGGGACTAAATTTAGAATTACCACCAGTGACAACAGACATCTGGTGGAATTAATTCAAATAAATATATTTTCTATTTTTCATTTTTCAAAACAATAGATAATTTTTTCCAATTAGTAGGCGGATACTATATGTTTTAATAATATTATTTTAAACAAAAATTTATATTCAAAAATGACAAATTAAAGTAACAATAACAATAATAAGAAAAAACATCACTCTATTAATTTAGAAAATCTTAATCATACTAAATAATTTTTACCAAACCATTACCTTACTTTCTATTGTTTACAAATTTGTGAATTGATTAATCACATTATAAGTTTGTTGGGATTATATACCTCAAACTCAATTGGGGGTGGGGGCTCTCTTTTTCTTACGAATGCAAGAATTGTAACTCTCTTTTTCTCGAAAAAAACGTTTAGTAAACCCCACTCCTATTTCAGAATTAATAGTTGAGAGAGTGCATAAAAGTTGCACACATTTAAGCCTATATCCGTTACTACTCAAATGTGTGCACTGAGTAAACCTCACACCTATTTGAAGATTAATAGTCGAGAAAGTGCACAGATGTTGCACATTTCTAAACCCATCACCCCCTACCCAACTTATTGTTTTCCATTAAACAATTTTAGAAACTAATGTCTGTCTGTCCGCCTGCAATGTAAATAATGTTACAAATTCAGCTCGAGCCTCTTTACATTCTTCGAAAGCGCGACTTTTACCCAGTTATCAATGGCAGATTTCGAACCCTTGTACAGATCGAAGCTAATCTTGAACGCCTTGAGGGCAGGGCCGTTATGCTGCCTAATAACTCGATTCACCCAATTACTGTTCTTGTTTCTTTCTATGTTCAGGGAGCGTGAATATATCTCTATTCCATCCAATGTAGTTTCGCCGTTAAAGTCTAACCCAGCAATGGACTTCCACAGGCTCCTTCACCGCCTTGATACGGTGGCAGTGGCAGCAGCGTCCATCAACGGCAGGCGAGACATGTAACAACCCAAAATTTCATTTTATAAA